TCAAAATCACAGTCACAGAATCACCGTAGTAACGCAACGCAATTCTTGAAAGAGTAACGTTACGTAACATTTTCGATCCCGACAGTATAATTATTTTGAAGAAGAAAAAATCAAACGCGCTTTTTCTGGTACTCACTTTGTATCGAAAAATAAGGACTTTAACAATGGTAATTCTCTACGGATGACGGAACAGGAAGATATTTCGTCTTGTTACTTTACGATCGAGGAAACTTGGAGCCGTTAAATAAGTTATTTTGGTCACGCCTCATTATTTTTAACGGACTTCGATGCTTTCGTTTGGAGGCTACCTAAAGAAACCCAAGCTAATTCTCAGGTATGCTTTAGATGAATGTCTAAATGTGGGAATAAACGAGGACCGGGAAAATTTGGAGCTATACCACAAGAAGAAAAATGCCGCAGAAAACAACTACTAAATTAAAGTTTTTGTCACCGTAAAAACCTGTTCTTCGTTTTCGAATTATGTTAGTTCAGCCAGTCTTGATATTGCTTTGAAAGTACCTTCTAATGAAAGAAGAACAGTTATTCTATTGATGGAAAGTGTCCAAATTTCTCCTTACTGCTTTATTTGCGAACGCGAGGAGAGATGATGCTAGCACAAGTCGGGTTGAAAATACGGCCATTTTGAGACTCCGACTACGAAAACTGATATTCTTACTTTTCTCGAAAATAAAAGGCTTTTTGCAAGAACAACTTACATCAGATTACCTATCTAACTAAAAGCTATTTATGGACGAAAAATGAAGGAAATAGAATTCTCAGCTCTTGCCACTCGATGGTCGATATTTCCTGACCGTCGCTCTTAATAGGAAATATTGCAAAACGACGTTTTAAGTATTTCTTCATAAAAGGCTGGCAATTTGATAGGCAATTTCTTCAAATCAAACTCACAACATAAGACTAATTTACCCCAACAGGTTTCAGATAATGCAGAAGGATTGTTTTCCATCCACTCGGTTGATCATTTGCCAGTTTCTTGCAGCAAAGTACTCTTTGTGTTTCGATTATAAAGGAATTTAAATGTGGGGCTTTCAGTCCTCCATCTTCGATGTCACTAATAAGTGCACAGCGCTTAACTTTATCCTTTCCTTTCCAGATAAAATCAAAGATAATTTTACTTGCTTCTTTCACAAATTCTTTATCCAATGTTATCAAGCTTGTGCGATATAAAAAGAATGGGGTAATAAAGGGTTTTGACAATTTGAATTGATTTTGTGCGAATGTCATAGGTAAAATGTACTGCTAAGATTTTAACGGATCGTTTAACTTTTATGTTGTTCAGATTGGTCTCTTGTACGTTATAGGCCCGGTTACCTAGCAGCAAAACCTCTGACTTTTCGTGGTTAACCTTCAGGCCAGAGCAAGTTCCATAAACTTCTATAAGTTTAAGAAAGTTTGTTAGCAGTCAGGTCATCTGCGAACAGACTTACTTTCATCTCTTCATTATCAACTGTAATACCACGGATGTCATTCTACTGTCGCATATATTAAACACATAAAACATTTGGACTCCACTACACAACATCAACAGACAAAACGTAATGGCAAATAAGTTTATTTTGGGACGGCTTGGCGAGAACCAACCCTACAAAGTACTTATGTAAAAACAATAATAGGTGATTATTGGTGAATATCTAATGTACAACACTCGTAAACTAGCTTTCACAAAAAGAAAAAACTAGTGCTACAAATGGTCGCTCTTGACCTGAATTCCCCAGTTAAGCAGGCAGGCTTAGTGCCAGTTAGGCTGGGGAAGCTATTAAAAAAATTCTGACAACGGATAACTGGCACAGGGAACGCGTTAGGAGCACAGAGGCTAAGCAAAAAGAAAGAACTGCTACAACTGGTCGATCTCGACCTGAATCCCCCAAATAAGCAGGCAGGCTTAGTGCCAGTTAGGCTGGGGAAACTATTAAAAAAATTCTGACAACGGATAACTGGCACAGGGAACGCGTTAGGAGCACGGAGGCTAAGCAAAAAGAAAGAACTGCTACAACTGGTCTATATCGACCTGAATCCCCCAAATAAGCACGCAGCCGTAGTGCCAGTTAGGCCGCCAGTTAGGCTGGGGAAACTTAATAAAACTGTGATCAACAGATAAATGGGACCGGGAACACTTCAGGAGCATAGAGGCTGAGGTCCAGGAAAACTGGGAATTATCTTCATTAATGTACCCAACAAGGCACGTAGCCCAGTAACCAGTAAGGCTGCCAGAAAAGGCTAGGGCAGGACATTGAGGGTAAACAAATGGATAACGACCCTGGCTGGAGGTCTGTAACATTGCCTGCAACCTAACTGCGTCAAACGAGACTTATGTCGCCTCCTAAATAGCGGTTCCGGGACAGCTGACCTAAGCATACATAGAAACTAAATATATCAAGTAAAGGAGCAGGTGCAAAACTGAGATAACTGTACAAGTACATAAAATAAGAAACGGGAAAAAAGCTGAAAACTAGCAGAGCTGAGCTACCGCTTACAAACTGAAGTAAGTGCGGTCAGACGGAGGCCAGAAAAAACCTGCCCAAAATAACCCCAAAGGGAAAAAATGCGAACAGGAAATCTGGGTAGGAACCAAGGCTCAAGCTCAAAGCCCTTCCTACGGGACTTTACAATGTAATCGAGAATAGGTTGCTCCTAAAAATTGAATAAAACAAAAATTTAAGAAGAACCAAAAAGAGGTTGGTTCGTAAGCCTAGATGACGTACACGTGATATACGCAGCCTTATATAGCCCCGATATGGCTACCCATGGTGCACCCGGCCTAGTACCCAGGCCCTGTTGTATCTCGTGCCGTCAAAATATTCATTTCTGCCTTCTTCGCGAGCTCATTCGTCAGAAATAACATTTCTAATGCTATAATAAATAAAAGCAGAGAGACGGTCTCCCTGTATTACTCTTTCAACTGCAAGTTTTCGTCTTTTGTCTCTATTAGGGTATTTATGGCTTCTTTCTGAGAGTTTGACAACTCACTATGATTATAAGAAGGTTTAAGCTGTCTACTTCCCAAGAGGACCCAAAAAGCCCTATAAAATTCGACTGTTAATCCATCATTGCCTGGTAATATTAGGGAACTTAAGCAACAACGACGGCGACAGCTACGAAAACGTCACTTAAAAAGTGGATTCGCAATGTCTCAAACTTTATCGCGCTTATTCCATCTCGTTTAATTCGTCAAATGTTGGCAAATTTTTTTTGAGTTGAATTCTAAAGGACTCTATCAAAGTTCAGGAAAAGAAAAAGAAAGTTGTTTTATGGTGTTCCCGTTCTCTACAAAACGTGAAATTAGGCACTTTCACGTCGTAGTCGTGCAACGACGGCTACGAAATACGCAAAAAAGCGTGATGCATGTGCACAATTTTTGTTTTTCGAATCTAAAGCTATTGCTTTTTTGCCGTTCTCGTTGCCGTCGCCGTCGTCGTTACTTAAGCTCCCTAATAGGCGACACATAAAGACCGCATAATGTCCCATTATTTTCTCTTGACAGCACGGAATAGTAGTCTGTGGAGCTCTCCGGAACCACCTTCCGATAAATTTCAGGCATTTACTTGGTCTAAAAGTAACTTTAAAGAATTTCATATACAGTGGAACTCGGTTAATACGGACACCAATAGGACATGCCATAGTGTCCGTATTCAGATCCGGATACCAAATTACTCGATCTCTTACCAAAAGTAATTTTCTCATGTCTTTCAGTGTTACTTTCCGGGTCGACGTCATTAATGTGGTGTCTCCATCTTAGCTCTTTATATATATTTAGTTGACTTAAACTAAAGTACTGGAAATATCTTGATTACTCAGTGCTTTCATCACTTGACCATTTTTGAATGTGGATTTTTACTTTCTGTTTCTTCAGGCATGACAGAGGAAATAAATACATGTTATATGACCCCGACTTCTGTCTCACATGGTAGGTATGGAATGAAGAACAATTGTTGTGTAAACGGGACGTTTTTCCTCAGTTGAAGTGTTTTAATGTCTTGTTAGTACATTATTTTTCACTTTTTGTAAATGTGGATTTTTACTTTCTGTTTCTTTAGGCATGACAGCAGCAACAAATACAAGTTACGTGACCCCGACCTGTGACTCACATGGTAGGTATGGAATGAAGAGCAATTGTTGTGCAAACAAGAGGTTTTTTCCCAGTTGAACTGTTTTAATGTCTTGTTAGTACATTATTTTTCACTATGTCATCAGACACTTCTTGAACTCCCAAGTAATTATACTAAAGACCTCAACTCCTACTAACCATTTTTTTCCACCGGCTTCAGTTTTCTCCCTTGTACTCTGTCTCACCTCCAGTCGGCAATGATGTGCTAAAAAAGAACTTTTGTACACACAACTTGCTAGAATTTCAACATTGTTTGGGGAGGGAGGGGCCAGTTTTAGTGAATATCATGTTAAGTATCATAAGGCTTTGTAGACCCTTTATACTTTACTAGGAGCCAGTTTATCTAAATGATTCAATTTGCTGCTTTAAAGGCATGTCGGGGGGTACAACTAAAAGTTATGTGACCCCTACCTCTGGTTCACATGGTAACGTAATAATTAACAACGTTAAGAGAGATTGCTGATGAATCAACGTTTCTGTTTGTTAGCGTTGGGAGAAAATACATCCCGTTTCGGACGCAATCGCAGTTCCACCCAATAATACTGATTTTATCTTTTGCCCCTAGCCTAAAAAGCGGAATTTTGCTTATAGAATCTGACAGTCCACATTAAAGTCGGACCCAAATCACAAAAGCTCCGGCGCTTTTAATTGAAACAGCAATAAGGACAAGGTTATTGATTCATCTGTCCTCCTTTACATAAAAAAGGATGAAATTCAACAAACAAGAAAATGAAATCTTTTAACGCCTATGTAGGCAGAGGTTTATGTGGAAGCAAATTTAAAGAAGTAATTGTTGTTACACTAGTTTTATTTTAGCCTTTCTATCCATACTTATTTTCTGCGCTAATCTGACTTTTATGCTTCCACAGCTGTCAATCCATCAACATGTAACTGGTGCCTGGGTTCGGGAAATGTTCAGGAATGTGAAGTCTTAAATTTGCAGACTCAGAAGCCCTGTTCCTTGGACCAATTCCCCAACATTGGCACAACCCACTGTTACACTGCAGCAGGAACATTTACGTCTTCCAACGCGCCTGAGATTATTTTCACAGGCTTTGCTCGAGGATGCATCAACTGCACAGGTTTCAATTCCTCCCTCCTACCCTTCCTCATTTTTATTAACAGTTGGTTCGTGCAGAGTCTTGAATTCGTGAAAAAGGCTTGAAATTTGCCCAGCAACTTTCCAAACCTGGAAAAAGTCTGCAATATAGATATAAGTTCTGGAAAAATTGTTTTTGTTTGCTTTTTTTTTTTTTTTTTTCACAGCTACAGGAAGTGCCTTACAATTGAATGTTTTTCGTTGGTCAAATCTTTTTCAGTGTCGCTCGTATGTTTGCAGCGCACTATGAAAGCTTTGTTCCTGCGTTTTTTAAGGTCTCTATTGATCACCTATTTGATAACCTTGATTCTGGGAAAAAATCGTTGTTTTGGAAAAAACGTCTGGGAAAAGTCGAATTTTGGATCCAAAAACCTGTACTAACCCTGTTAACAGAACAAAGAGTTAGCGTGATCTCTATTCAAAGACCTCTCTCAACTTACACCAAATGAGGCAGGCTTTTTTCTTAAAGTTCGAGGCCGACCTAAGTAGTATAGAATGCACCATTTAGAGTCCTGTTTTGGTTAGGGATCTCATTAAGGAGGAAAGGAATATATTAACTGCGATGATGTCATAACCTTATTTATCTCATGAATGAAGTGCGGGGGAATCTCATTAAGTTAAGGTCATGTGCTATGTCTTAACCCCGTTGGAAAGGATATATTTCTAGTTATTTCCAGGTCTATACATATCTCGATCTTTATTGGTTAACTAAAAACTAAGAAACGTATTCGTTGTATGATTCATGTTGTCAAAGGAATAAGCGCTGACTCACGCGTGACTTAAAAACACTGAGTCGTAACGTAATTATGCAAATTTTATTTCGCGCCACGTTGATTGCCCCATAAATTGTTCCAGCTTGATATTTTGGCCTGACTTGAGCATTTTTCTACTGGTTTTGGCCTGTCTGCCCTTCAATACAACCTATACATTCGGTGATGGTGAGGTAACAATAGAAACGTTGGGGTGGTGGCGGAAAGAATGAATGGAAATGGTGTAGCTGGGTTGGTGTGGTGACGGTGGAGAGAAAACAACAGAAATGTAATGGTGGTGATGATTATGAAGAGAAAACAATAGAGATGTGGTGGTGGAGGTGGAGGGAAAACAATAGACATCTGGTGCTGGTTGAGTAAAAACAACAGAAATGTAGTTGTGGTGTAGTTGGAGAAAAAAATAGAAATGTGGTGGTGGTGGAGTTGGAAGGAAAGCAATAGAAATGTGGTAGTGTTGGTGGTGGTGCGGTGGTGCAGAGAAAACAGTTAAAATGTGGTGGTGGTGGTGAATGGGAAAACATTAGAAATGCGGTGGTGGTGGTGATGGTTGTGGACGGAAAAACCATAGAAATGTGGTGGTGGTGTTGTTGAGAAAACTGTTGAATTGTGGTAGTGAAGGGAAAACATTAAAAATATGGTGGTGGTTCAGGGAAAGCAATAGAAACGTGGTGGTGATAGTGGAGAAAAACAGTTGAAATGCGGTGGTGGCGGTAGAGGGGAAACCTTGGAAATGTGGTGGTGTCGTGGTGGTGGAGGAAAAATTATAGAAATGTGGTGGTGGTGGTGGTGGCAGGGGACATACTTATTGTCAGGATATAGCTCAAAGCTGGTATAATCCTCTCAAGTATATAGGACAAGATTAGCAGTAGCCGTTGGCTAGGAAGTGCGGGCGAAACCGCTTTCATATGTAGGTGAATTCCTTTTATTGCGGATCATGAAAACTAAATTGAACGACACAGTAAAGAAGACTCATATAATTATTTAATTCATCAACTTTACTTGCAGTTGCTTAGATACAATTAGCCTGCAATATTTCTGGAGCGATCAGCGAGGAAAGAAGTTTTTATTTTATTCGCCGGCAAAGATATGCAGTCATACGAAGTCTTGTTATTCAATCGAATATTCAATCCGTGTTCAATGACCAAAGGCCGTTGATATATATGCGATACAAAATAATGAGACAGTGGAGTTCAAAGCTTATTTAAGCTTTCGGATAACAGGCGACCTAGCGTGCTTGAAAACTTATGAAAATATAAAACCCTGAAAAACCATGCACTTTAGTGAAACCTGAATAAACTTTATAATTTATATCGATTTCTAGACTTTGCTAGCACTCTTATCTTGCCGAAAACTTGTCCCGCACTAAGCTGAGATCAGGCTCTACTTTTATCGTCCTGGGTAAATAGATTGTAGTCCGGCAAGGCGAATCGAAAAGTCGACCATTTAGTGAAGTACTTGTGTACCTGAATTACGTGTGCTTCCGAATCGAATGTGTAATAACGATTATTGCATCAATTCCATGTGCATTTACGTGATTACTGTGACATCAGACGAACCTTGAACTCAACACCAGGGCCTTCGAGGCAACATTCCATTCATACCAATGCATAATAGTCGGTACAACACTAGCCTGCGTGCAGACGATAACTAAACTCTGATTAGTACCGTCTGCGAAGCAGCGCAGAGATCCTTGTTCTGGACCCCCAACGGACTCAACGAATTACCGGAAGTGCGTTTCGAATTCCCCTTCAACCTGATTGGCGATCACGACAAACAAAACAAAGGCCTTTTTTAACTGGCCAATCGTGGCGCGTACTCAAATCTGGGTACACAGCTGGAAGTCCAGAACAAGGATTTCGGCGCTGTTTCGCAGACGGAATTAACCAGAGTTTAATTTCGTCTGCGCGCAGGCTAGTACAACAAAGGAATGTCAACAGATCGAGAAGAATCTCGCTATACAGTTAAAAAAGTGCCGCTGACCAAGAATAGGTGGCGGGCTCCTTCGTCGCCCGCAATTAGGTTCAACATATTCGATGCTAATATTTTGTTTTGTTTTGCTTTTATTAATAGACAAAGCAGCAGCTTGCGCAGCATTTGTAGAAGGTTTTATTGCTCAACCTCAAAACTGGACGTCGCTGAATTGTACTATTGAGTGTTGTACTGCTGACAACTGCAACAACCAATTTGTCACCGCAGTTCCTCCAAATCCTGTTACTCCTACTTCCGAGTCACATGGTAGGTAACACGCGACAAAGAAGGAACACGAACGTGGGGATATGTTCGGTTATCCTTTTATAACATTAATTTATTTATCCTCTCGAATTCAAAGCAAAGAAAGTATACTTCAAAAACTTCTATTCCCTGTCCAAGGTTTGCGCAGTTGCGAGAGTCCACTCTCTACGATAAGTTTTTTTCGCGGGTGCTCTCCTTAAAGGAGCTATGTAACACTATTTTAGTATTACTTAAAGCCCCAAAACCACATTGGAATCAAAAGAAAACCCAGGAATAATGGTTTAGCTTTTCAACAACAAGCAACAGGCTCAATATAAGGACCCCTTTCTTAATACTAGTCATAACTATCACAAAATTATCTAATCTGGTTGGATATCAGTTGTCCTGATTTCAGCATTAATAGGACAGTGTAATGAGACCCGTGTACGTCATCCTTAAATAATTGGACAGTACGCGCTATCGCAAACGCGTTCCCGCGCTACTTTTATAGCCCCTCCAAGACGTGACTGAGCGGCCAATCCAATACCTGATTACTATATACTATTATACGGTTCTGCTCGCAGATTAAGATCCTAAACTACGGACTGGCGTTATTATTTTCTTGTTTTTGTTTAGGAGCTGTCAACGAAACAGCATGTATCGAGTGCTTCGAAGTTGAGGCCTTGAACATATCCTGCAAAAATTCCATTCGACTCATACCTTGTTCTTATCAGTGCTACACAGCTAAGGGAAACATAAAGTATTTCAGCTACAGTCCTGATGAAGTGATTACTACAGTCCTAGAGGGAAGAGGATGTGTCAACTGCACGGGTAAGAAAATGGTTTAGTCTAAACAGCACTCAGTAAAAGCAGAAGCTAAATTATTTAAACTAAACATTAATGTATGATATGTTATTAGGTTTGGACTAACTAATAACTTGGACTTATATTAAAGTTTTGTTTTTCTATTGTTAGAGTTATATATCTTTAATAGCTTGTAACTTATAAACTGAAGATCAACGGTTACTTCTGCCTTTAGTATATGTGTAACGAGTTGGAAATAAGACTGTGTACCAAGAAGGAAATAGGAAAGTCTAAATCATGAGACGTCCGCATATTCAGATCAATTGTTTGAAACATCATGAGGTTTACGCTGGACTGTCTCAATGAAAGCAATGCAGAATATTTTAATGACCACAGGCTGTTGAATTCTCCCTTGACAACACTGAATAAAAGTTTTCGGACCTCTCCAGAAACAGACTTCCGATTAATTTCATGTTTTTTAATTGGTCTAAAAATAACTTTGGTAAAGTTCACACATCTCAAGGGCAAGACTGGGCGTTTTCCACTCTCTCCTAATATTCTTTCTTCTCCACACTTATCCGGATATTTTTAAATATGGAGGGTCTTTTCCAAAATGTTTTTGAAAGGCGTACGCGTCCACACGTAGCGCATTCTAATCGTTTTCATCCGTCCACAGGAAAAGGGCAACAACAACAACAACAACAACAACAATCTTTATTGGGCTCTTGATACAAAAGTGTAGAGTCATTAAAAGGAAATAACTGCGAAAAAAAAGAGAGCACAGCCACTCAGAGACAGCAAAAGCTAATCGCGCTAAGTGGCTAGGTCATGCGGAAAAGTATCTAGATATTAAAGTTGTTATAAATAAACAAATGCACACAAAAACACACAAAGAAAAAGTATTTTAGCTGTAATAAATAATCAAATACACAAACGAATAAATAAAGAAGCAAGACAAAACAAAACAACGGCTGTGCACACAATTAGCTGCATGTAAAGTACACCAATCAATATTTGGAGATGACAGGTTCTTTTAAAGGCTTTTTAAAGTGAAAACGACTCGCTCATTTTAGATCTTTAATAGCATGGAAACACGATAGCATACATTAGAGGGCATGGGCCGTATGATGTATAACGTTATCATATTACATGCACAAGACCTTTTCGTCCGTCTACACGAAAACGATCAGTGAGCCTTTTCAAAAAAGTCACTCTGGGGACCGTTCTCAAAACCTGCGTTTTTGGTGCCCAAAAGCGCCGTTTACTTCTGGACGGAGAAGAAAATCCTAGTTTTCAAAGTGAGGGCTGTTCAGTCAAGATTGCTCAATATTGGCCTCGTTCTATTTATTATTAATATTATTTTATTGTTTTTATTGCGTATCCAGCCATCTTGAACTCCCAACTGTTGGTCAATTATTCCTCGGTCAACAGACAGTTGCTTGCCAGGTTGCGGTTTGATTCAACAATCGAAGCAATAAATTTTCATCCATATAGGCGGCCCGTCTGAAAATGAAAGGCTATCTCCGCTGATAATTTATAGTTAATATTCTAGATCAGTAAACAGCTGCTAATACTGAAAAAAAAAAAAGATTTATGGAAAAAAAGGAACGAAACAGTTTAGCCTAATATACAAAGAATAAACTCTTAAAACTATTACGAACTAATAAAGTTTTCAAACTCCTTGATAATAATATTGTATGCTCCCTTTAGTTTGCTGGGGCGTCAGTAAATAAGAAAGGCTCAAAGAAGCAATTACTTACACACATTTCATCATGAATTTCTTTTCTTTAGACAAAGAAGCATTCTGTGCAGAATTCAATACTACCCTGCCATTCCAAAACATGACTTTGATAGACTGTAATTATATTGAGTGTTGTTCTGGGGACAACTGTAACAATCACAACTTAACTGTCATTCCAACGAAAGCTACGGCCACTCCAGCACCATTCCCTACAACAAGTAAGTACACGGTTATTCTAACACCTGAGGTGATGGTCGTTCCAACATCCAACTTCTGACGCACGTGAATACAACCCCTCTCAACCTCTCTAACGATTACGTAGATGGTTATTCCAACACCTGACTACAACACCCAACCATAGGGAGTCGACGCTCTTATTTGTAAACTGCGAATGGAAATTAAATAACAGATAAAATCTTACCTGTTTTGTTCTATTCTTGAATCTGCTGCAGTGCGAAGTGAAATGGAAGTTGTTTTACGATGCGAAAACTATGTTCAAGTCGACACTTTTTCACGATGCTTTATGTAGTTTGTCTCGCATTTCACTATCGTCTATTTCATTATCGTCTCGCGTCTCATTGTTGGTTATTAATTTATTAACAATGTGAATTAACGGTAATGAATTAATAACGGTAACGGATTAAGAAATTAATAACCAACAATGAAACGCGAGACGATAATAACAACCACGTGACAACAGTGAAATGCGAGACAAACCACATAGAGCATTGTGAAATCAACAACGGCCAAAGCGTCGACTTGAACATCGTTTTCGCATCGTAAAACAACTTCCATTTCACTTCGCACGCAGGAGACTCAAGAATAGAACAAAACAGGTGGGATTTTATCGCTTATTTAATTTCCATTTGCACCCAACTTTTGAGCACTTGAATACAACCTCTCTAACATGGTTATTCTAACACCTGACTACAACAACCAACTTCTGTGAGCACGTGAATACAACCCCTCTAACGCTTACATTGACATGGTTATTCTAACATCTGACGACAACATGACTGCATCCCCCCGCGGCACACAAGCATACATGGTTTGTGGTCCTTCCAACTGATGAGTACACCTATATGGGTCCACCCACGTGCCCTTTGGAAATTCCTAATTCCTAGCTCGACCCAGTATTTTTGCAGGTACACCTTCCATCTTTGAATCTCTTTTACTTAAACAAATTGATCTTTATTGTAAAACCCATCATAACACATGTATTACACATAGACTAAACTTTATTATGATATTTTTTTTTGGGGAGGCAATCGGAATAAGTATCACGTGACAATGACGTCACAATAGTTTTTGCTCTAAATCGAGTTTCTGCCTTTATCGGCATTTTCTTTGGATATGCTTTACGCTACCTATGCTTTGGGTGCTTGTCTTCTGCTTTGCGAAGTTTCACAAAAATCTATAAGAGGTATTTCGAGATATCTTGGAATTTCTGCAAAAAAGATATAATTATGCATGAACTGAGCGCTGGACTTAATGGAGACAAATTTGCTACTTTTTTGATGCTTCCAAAAGTTTTTATCACTCATTCGTTTTGCAAATGACCTTTATACACTCTACAACTGTCTGAATGCCGCAAGTAGACTTGCGCGGTTTCGAAAAAAAAATAAAAAGAGGTGAATCAATAAAACGCAATGCTGAGCTCTTTTTTTGTAATTTCTAAAGCTACTTTCACGAAAACAGCGATTAGACCAAATTCTTCGATAGATTTTCTTTAAAAAAAATCCAGTGCTGCAATAGGCCACTTCCGAGTTCCAAAAACCCTCACTTTCAAAATGAGGCTAGGTGCACAACCTTTCTTGTGAAAATGAGTGTTATTTGCACGAGAATGAACAATGATTTCTATATCAAAAGCTAAGCACCTACCTTCGTTTTGAAACAGAGGCCCGGTGGAACTCACAAATGGCCTATTGGTCAGTGTACTATAAAATCCCCGAATTTGTGTCCATTGAAGACTTTTTAAGTTTTCTAACGTAGGCGCAATATTGAGTGAATATTGAGGCGATGTCATATATCTGGGACTTCCTATTGTCTCAAGTTTAGCACAACATCAAACTCCCATGCAGCATGCGACAATTTACCGCGCTTGGTTGCCCTCTGAAATATTTCCGAAATATGGTAATGCCTTAGAATGGAAGAAAACAATAGCGAATAGATTACGGAGGGCAACCAAGCGCGCTTCTTTCTCTATTACAACACTTGAAAACAAGATAGATGCATATGCCCCAACCAACACGTCGTATATACAACTAAATCAAAAAAGGTTGCTTTGGCAACTGGGCATTTGGGCATACAGAACAATGCAATGATTTGCTTGAGTGACCATCAAACAATCGTTTCCCAATGCCCAAGGCAACCTTCATTGAATCAGCTATATAAGTTTCCTTCTGCTCCTGGGCGCTCATTAACGGCTCTAGCTATAGTGACCTGTAAGTATAAGGTCCCTACAATACCTAAGTATACCGCTCCTTCACCATTTCATAATACGGTCCTTTCGATACCCAAGTGGACATAAATAATCATGATAAATAAACTTACCGCAGCTTTTTTGGCAATGATTTCTCTTTTCTTTCATACTAGCATTGACGTTTCGTTACCGGGGAAGTTTAAGTCAGGAGGGGGACTTTAAACAGGAAACATGTCTCCTATTATAACGCAGAGGAGCTAAAATTGTCTGGAAATAAATGCCCGAATTAACTGCAGTATGCAGTTGAAGTTTTGGCCTTTTTTTTTTTGTTTAGTTTCTAATAATTAAGCAAATCATTACATAGCTATCTAAGAGCGTTTTTTTTTTTGTTGTTTCCAATCACTGATTTAACAAAGTTGCTAAGTTTATTTTTTCCTTGTGTGAGTTATCTGTGATTCGTTGATTCAACAAAGTTTTCAAAATACGTTCTTAGTTCCTTCTTCTTCCATTTTGGGGATCATTAATTTTGTGGTCGGGGAATTTTTTTTTAATTAACTTATGATTCGTAGAAGGTAAAGGAACCTTCTTGAAAATGTATGATTTTGTTTGATTCATCCTCCAACTTTGAGAATCCTTAACTGTTCTTGTTACTTCAAGAGATTTTATAGTTACTTTGAAGACTGCTCACGTTTTGAACCTAACCACAAAGCTTCCGTTAAGTACTAACCAAACTTCTTCTTTGCGTGATTCCGCTCACCAAGCGCAGACACTTCAGAAACTTTTCCCGATTCCCAGTAGTTAGTATCTCCCCCCGTCCTCCGTCTCGATTTAGAGATGTTTGCAGTTCTCGAAGCCCTGGTCACAAGTTCCAGCCCGAACACGTAGTAATTCTTGACATGGAACCAGACTAGTTTAGGGGAGACGATCTACACTCCACAATTGCAACTACCTTTTAACGGAGACAGATGAGGCTACCAGCCACCGAGAATCTGGGGCGCGTCACAGTGGCTTCACACGCTGAAAAAGTCTCGCGGGACTAAACGGAAGCTTTGTGGTAAGCTTAAATGGTTGTGTTATTTGTTTTTCTTTCTTTTTTGAACAGCTGTCAACCAAACGACATGTATTTCTTGCGTTGAATTTGGGTCCAGCAACATATCCTGTATTAGTCACTATTCTCTGGTTCCATGTCGTTTTCACTGTTACTCATTAAAGGGAATCTCAGAGTACTACAGTGTCGATCAAGTTAATACAGCTCCATTAGAGATACGAGGATGCAGCATCAACTGTCCAGGTAAAGCCTTTTTCATATAATTGCCTAAAACGTTCAGTAATCTAGCCGATCGTTGTAATTATAATGGAGCTTCTGTCCTATTGTTAAAAAAGTAACCGACCAATGCGACGTCAGCGTACGCCCGAGCGCTCGTGCGTACGGCTGTGGAGACTTTATGGGAGTGGTGGGTGGAGACTCTTTTAGGGAGGGGAAGGGAGTCGCAGACATGCAGCTTGCGTTTGGTCATGCCTCACGGCCATGAGAAAACACATAGCCGAACAGCTAGGTTAGGGAAAAAATAAGTGCTCCGTATTTCCAAGGTTTTCAAGCCTTTGTGTGACTATCACGAGTTATACCGTAGAAATCTTGCTGTATAGGCACTGGGACAACTGTATAAAGGGTTTTTTTGGTTTTGTAATTTAAGGACGACGGGAGCATGTATCCGGATACGCTTAAAATCGGATGATGTAAGAGTAATGTTTACAAAGACCGTGAGCTAATATTAAAGGGCACAAAAATTTACTTGAACTTCCTAGCCTATTCACAGACGTTTTTTTTTTCTTTGGGTGAATTAGGCAGCCCGAGAGCGAGCGCGGCTGTGTTCAATAGGTCCCATGCGGTTTTTCTTTTCTTACGTGCGCTCAACGATCTCTCAAGAGAAAATAGAGAGTCTGTGAACAGGCTATAAACGCCCTTGTCAACATTGCAAATGAGTAAATCCGGGATTACTTTACGTTCAAAGTCGAAGTTAAAACAAAGTTAGCCCTCAGACGCACAAGCAAATTCAAACCCCCATTGTGATACAAGGTGGGGGAGGGGGGAGGGGGGTTCATCGAACCCCTCCCCAGAGTTTTTGATATGATGCTGCATTTGGAAACGATTTTTCCTTCAGTGGAAAGCCTTTGATATTCTCAACCAGATGAGGTATATTTTATGGGTGGAGGCGCTGCTGGAGGCCTGTGATGTCACCAACAATGGTAACCATCTTGGCCGCCATTTTGTATTTCACCAAGAATTAGAAATCAGGTTAAAATCGCGATAAATGGTAATTTTTTGTGCTTGACATGTACATGTATATCCAGTGGACCACCTCAGTAAACGCTGTCAATTAAGTTTGAAATAGGTATATATTCTTCCTCTATGGTGATTGACAGTTTTCAAGGATGACTTTTTCGTTTATTATTTTTTTCCGTGTAGAATTAAATCTTTAACTGATCGAAGCTAGACTTAAAGCTCACAATAAACTCATTAATACTCTTTCAGGCTCTGTCCATGTCGGAGAAATTTATGAACTATCGATCGCGCAGCTACCCGACTGAACCGTGGTGAACCCTGGTCGTAAGGTGTCTTTTCATCGGTCAGAAAAAAAACATTAACACAACATTGTTCATCATTATTTCCATTGTTTTAGGTTAGGGTAGCAAACCATTTGGCTTTTAGGGTTAGAAGAGCTGCTACATGACCTCTCTTCCCGGAATGAAGAAAAACAATATGGCCGCCAAATACATCCTTTTAGTTTTTAAAGTTCTCATTCATTAACAAACGTTAAACATTTATTTCGGCAAACAAACGGTTAAGTTGAAAAAGGATTTTACAAAAGTCTCAAGAGTAGGTCTCCTCTTCGATTTAACTTGCAATATCGATCAATTTTCGCAACTTTTAAACTTCTGGCTCAGTTTTCGTTTGGTTCTACTTTGAACATGGAATAATAATTACTCAGAGACAATACAGTGCATAGAATTGTTGAGAAAAACAGCAAAAACTTGCCAATTTATGACAAGGAAGGTACTTTTAAAACGAACTAAAACATTCAAAACGCTTTGATCACGTGACTGATGACGTCATGTCGCTATTTTGGTATGAAAAAATTATCAGGTAGAACATTACTTTCCCGCAAATTTTCTCTGCCGTGTGATGAAAGGTTGACTCTCTAAAGCCCTCCGCCTAGTCTCTCGACTTTTTTGCTCATGTTCATTACCCCCTTAAATTTTAAATGCCGGACGTCGACTGATTATTTTTAAATGCTCAACACAACTAAAACCGCAAATATGCTATTTGTTTTTAACTCGTTAATGAAATTGTGACACAACAACAAAAAAAGCTCATTCGGAAATAGTCACGTGATTGATGACGTCATTACCTTAGATGTGATATGGGAAGATATTTTATGGCAAATGTTATCTTGTTGTGGTCTGACAGTCTTCTACGTATAAAATTGTCAAAGTTACAAAGCTTTTATAAAAAATTGCCTCCTAGGATTCTGGGAGATTTTTATGATAATTATGATATTTAGTTTTATAAGTATTATTGACCCCGCAGGGATTAGTAATCCTTGTAGCTCGCGCGTATGTAATGATCGGTACTTACAGTTAGAATATGAAGTTAATAGTATACTGGAAAAAAAATCTCGATTTGCTTGAACAGGGGCCGCGCGGAATCATTGGATAATGATGACGTTTTAGCTCTAAAAAATAGTGAATTTACATAACGGGACGGGAGAGGAAAGAGGACGGCAAACCTTGTGTGACAAGCGTGAAAATAATTTTGTTTGAAAAAACCTTTAACGCGCCCGCTGAACATAACAAACAAGTGCTATTTACTTTCTTTTTTTAATAACGCATTTATTTTTTTAGTAAACTTTTCAAATATCTTGCCATTTTACAGGAAGGCACCTGTAATCGAAGGTGCAGGCCCCAATTTCAGGGTCTTGAAATACTCAGAAAAATGCTGAAATGCTTCATCCTATAAAGAATTTACAAACCGTCTTATATAACTTTATAAGTTTCTTTGGTCCGTGTCCTTTTCTAGCAAGAGGTAAATAAATGAACACTTTAATGCAACACCCCCTCCCCCTTTTATAAATAGTTCTACTGAGTCCTCTATGTCTTTCTGGCCTCAGATTTTACCTAGAAATAAAACAATCCCCGAATTACACAATCCCCTCTGGTTTTTATAACAAAAACATACTCTTCAATTATTATAAAAACATTATAATAATCATAAACTTCATTTTATGAAAATTTTCCATTTGTTACATTTATGGTCAAGATTTATTGCATTTATGGTGAGCCAGATTATTACATTTATGGATAGTAATTTATCGCATTAAGGTGGCTCCGTCATTAATACAGGCGCATTTGGCTGTGACGAAGTTTTCGTCATAACTTTTTCGTTTTTAACGCGATGGCTGGGAAACTTTGCAAAGAACAACAGATATCATTCGGCAACAGTACGAAATATTCCGATTTCATTGATGGTAAATATTCTTGAAAAATTTGCGCTTTAAAGGACCCTACTGTTCAAAGAAAATCGCTTCTAGTAAAAAAATTTGCTGATATTTTTTACTGAAATTTCTGGTATTGGCTTTAATTGATATAATAAATATGCCAGAGGATTTTCAGAAAGATCGTTGGAGCAGAAGTCCGTAACTAAAAGTAGCTCAAAATTCAGCTGTGAAATTGTTTTGGAATTTCAAAAAATAAATTACCATCAGGTAGAAGAAGACACCAGTTTGAATTTTCGGGACAAGTAAATTCAATGTTTGCTAATTCATAAAACAAAAGCCGATTGCCTATCGTGCGATTTTTTAAAAGGTAATTTTTAATTCTGAAATTACTCCAAACCTTGCTCTAAAGTAGAATGACTTGTTCCAAGACATTTTTAAAATATCCCTTAGCAGTTTTGGCTCAGACTCCTGCTGCATACATTTTGATGTATTGCAATGCATTTTCAACGACTTTTACTGCTGTTCGTTGCTTCCAACTCAGGAAAAAGGTATTGAGATTGGACGCTACCTCGTATCAGAGCTCAGATAGAACTGTCCAGCACCTTTGTTTATGACTACAAAATGAGCACGAGTGCATGGCAGTTCTGCGAAGAATTCGCACCTTACCCAGGGGGACGAATGACAATGATGCCCATTGCTGTGAACCGAATTACATCAAAGTGCAAAATAAAATTATCGCAAAAATACTGCCCGTGAATAAATTTACAACTCGGAAATTTTTGACACTTCTTTGTTCAATGAATGGGTAGTTTTTTTCTTGATTATCATGTTTCGCTCTGCAATACATGTTTATACAGATCGGTTCGCAGACGTGGGCATCATTGTCATTCGTCCCCCCTGGCTGAGGAGCGAATTCCTCGCAGAGCTGCCGCTCGTGCTCATTTTCCGGTCATAAACAAAGGTGCTGGACAGTTCTATCTGAGTTTCGATACAAGGTAGCTTACAATCGCAATACCTCCGTTTTTCCTGAATTGGAAGAAACGTACAGCAGGAAAAGCCGTTGATTATGCATTGCAATACATCAAAATTTATGTAGCAGGAGTTTGAACCAAAACTGCCGAGGGATATTTTAAAAATGTCGAGGAACAAGTCATTCGACGTCAGAGCAAGGTTTCGAGCAATTTATAGTGCCTCTAAAACTAAAAATTACCTTTTAAAGAATAGCACGATAGGCAATCGGCTTTTGTTTTATGAATTAGCAAACATTGAATTTACTTGTTCCAAAAATTCGAACTGTTGTCTTCTTCTACCTAATAGTAATTTATTATTGAAATTCCAAAACAATTTCACAGCTAATTTTGAGCGACTTTTAGTTACGGACTTCTGCTCCAACGATTTTTCTGAAATTTCTCCGCCATATTTATTATATCAATAAAAGCCGATACCAGAAATTTCAGTAAAAAATATCGGCAAAATTTTGTACTAGAAGCGATTTTCTTTGAACAGTAAGGTCCTTTTAAGCGCTAATTTCTCAAGAAATATTTACCATCAATGAAATCGGAATGTTTCGTACTATTGCCGAATGATATCTGTTGTTCTTTGCAAAGTTTCGCAGCCATCGCGTTAAAAACAAAAAAGTTATGGCGGAAAATTTGTCACAGCTAAATGCTACAGTATTAATGACGGAGCCACCTTGATGGTCGGTTTTTGCTACATGTATGGTGGGTATTACATTTATGTGACTTTTATTACTTCGGCGGAGCTTCGGCATGTCCACGGATGCCTTCCTTAAATCAGTGAAAATGTTCCTAGACAAGGAAGTAAGAATTATACCATTTAACAGCCGCTCGCGTTCCCCACCATAACCCAGTCATTTGTTACTTCGGCGGAGCGCGAAGTAAAGCATTCGCGACGCTCGGGAATGTCCCAAAGTTGCTCTTGTTGGGACAAGATTGGGCACGCAAAGTCTGGAGGTTTTCGGGTTTTTTCGGCTATTTGACGAAGAGAGAGCCGAATTAGTTTGAGATATCTCGAGATCACTTCGATTTCCTTGATTTATTCTTTAACTTATTCGGGGAAGAAATAATTACTATTTTGGCTTTCCCGGGGTTTGAACCGACTCACCTGTGTGACCCGTTAGATCAGAGGAGACTCTAACTTGAGGGATTAGCCGATTCCGCCACTGCGACCCAAGGTGATTTGGGATATGGAAAATATGAAATTATCCACTAGTTTCCGGACAAGATTGGGTGCGCAAGTTCGTCTTTTCCGCTTGTTTCGGCTATTTCACGAAATGAGACCGGAATTACTTCGAGATATCTTGAGATCACTTCGAGTTTAGTCTTTAATTTACTGGAGGAATAAAAGAGGATATTACATGGGAGCACAGAGACGCGAAATTTATCTTCGAGAGTTGAAAAACATTTCACGAGTGAGCGCTCCTTTCGAACTGTTTTATGATGAATTTAAGGCTACAAAATGCTGCACAAAGACGTTTTGACTTTGTTGAGTGTTACGTAGTAAAATTGGTGTCATGCGTTGCGTGACTTTCTCGAACGTTCTGTACGTTTTTGGATCATTCATGAATAACTAATTAAGGCATGTTTACATTTCAGCATGAGTCAACAGATTTGCATCTATTACTGAAATCATAAAATATGTCGAAAAGCTTCTGCTATTCGGCTGTTTAGTATTTTCTAGAACCTTATGTGTAACGGTATATACAAGTTCCAAGCGAGTTGTTTTGACGAACTAAGTTTTTTCCAACGAGCTGGAGTGCTGTGTTTAGTCAAGTGTGACAAAGGTCGATTTTCAAGTTCTGTGTTTACAAGTTGGCGGAGGGCGTAACGTATCTGAAGTTCAAGAGAGAGATTGTTATTATTGGCTGAGACTTTTTAGTTTTACTTAAGTTCAAGTCAAGTTTGTGTTGGCGGATGCTGTGCTTTAAAGCTCTGTAAAGACAATGTTCCTTTGGTATGAAACTTCCTTGTGTTAATCCGACATCCCTGCGTGGTGGTAGTCAGTGAATAATTATCCTCAAACATTCGAACCCGTAGTATTGAGTTTTAGCCAATTCCACGCTCAACGTAATTGACTACTTACCCATGCCTTACATATCTTTAATCAGTACATGAGACTGTTATGCTGTTTTTGAAGCCCGATGTAAGAAAAAAAACAAAACAAAACAAAAAAATAGAGAATTCTCTTTTCAGTGTTTCTTTTGTAAGAATTATTACTCACCGCCAGTAACCTCATATTGGACTTGGGTCTAAACGTTTAGACCCAAGTCAAATTTAGAAGGATTTGTATGGAGTCATAAGAGCATAACTGGGCTAATATCTCAGAGACAATTTGCCCCGAAATGCTAGTTTTTGGAAAGTAGGCCTCTTGGATGTTGCTCTTTTCAGAATATCCTGACAAATCTCACAAATTGACACCTTACTCTCACCATATATTATTTCTTACTATTCCTCCGCATTTACAATTAATCAGTTCCACAACCACGACACCGTAGTGTACGCTCCATAGCGTCTTGTTACATTAGTATTACATTTATGGATGATTATTACATTTATGGGTGATACAGACTGTGTGTTCAGTGAAATTCTGTGGAGCAGCTGTTTTGACTGCAGTATTAGAACAAAACTGAAGTTTTCATTTCTGTCTCCTTTGGCATTTTACTGTCTTAAACAAGCATGAAGAACTCACTGACCACGAAAGAGACAATATCGTGTTATGGACCGAAAGACGATAAGCGCGGACTTACATGTAAGTTATAAGGGACGTATAACTGTGTATAAGCACTTGGAGGATTTGCCAGACACGCCGGTTTACCATTCACAGATCTTTGATCGGAAAAGATTCAAATTTTGCAGACGCAAATTACTTTGGGGCCATAAATGTACGACTCAGTCCACTAACAAGCAAGTTTTCCTAAGCGAACGTACGAGTGAATCAGGCTAGTTTATCAGCAGAACGATGGAAGATTACTTTTCCCTGAGAGTAGGGGCTACATTTTCGCAGTGTGAGTAAAGTGCGTAGTCCGTAATCCTTTTCGCTCGGCTGCTGGCACCGCGAAAATGTAGACGCTAGCTCCCAAGGCAGTCGATTACAGAAATTCGCCGAGAAATACTTTTCTGTGCTGATCTATTCCCTTCTCAAAGATGTTCCTCTATGAGGCTTTTTTTATGCAAAGTATTGTCTGAAATGCCGTTTTAGTTAAAAACAAATATGACTACAACGCGAGTGTGTAAAATTTCTCGAAACGTCGAGTGTTTTGATAAAGCTGCGTAAATCGACCTGAAGCAGTGCATGGAATCTTGCGTTGCCTGCTTTTATCTCACCTACTGTATGTAGCATGTGTTAAAATCTTTAATATGAATCCAGATCCAATCTGATATAAATCGGTGTATTTCAATAAAGCTGCACAAAGATCAAGGCGGGATATACAACTGACCAACTACATACAAAGAGGGGACAGGTTTTAGTGTCAACTATTACTTTCTAATTTAGCCTGTAACTCGAGATCAAACCAGGACTTAAACAATACTATTTAACAATAGTTACATTACATAATGGTACCCAGAAAAACAAGGATAATTAGGTATTAGACAACTCAATGCCTACACAGAATATCAGGCTTTCCAGAGTACTTTTAGACCTCTAGAAATGCATTCAAAGGGGCGCTAATTACATTGGTATCTGTTCGTTCATCCTAGGGGAACTTGAATCTTTTCGAAATTACAAGGGCTTGATGAGTACCATTTTCCCGAAAGTTTTAGATGCAATTTGACGTATTACGAAAGAGAGACATTTTCTGATTCCTCTCTCCATCGCATTTTTGAATCCGAAAAATTTAGCCTAACTTGGGAAGTAAAATGTGAAAACAAAACCTCAGAAAATCGTGGGGAATTTATTAGATATAGGCTTCGAAAATTGTACATGAATGGAATTCAAAGGTCATCTAGAACTTTTTAGCCGTCCTCGAGTAATCGGAAAATTCTAGGCGATATTTTACAGAAAACACTCGTTGGGTGCCCCCGTTTAGTCGAAACCCTTGTTTCCTATAACCCATGAGTACAATGGTTATGGTTAGTCAAAATTCCTAGTAAAAGGGAAAGGTTAATTGTGAATTGATCACGCATTTTTTCTTTCAACACTCTTTATATCGTTACTTTATTTCAGACCAAGAAGCAGTCTGTTTAGACCAAAATGCAAGCTTTGCACTTTCAAACATCACATTGCTAGCCTGTAATGTTGACTGTTGTCATGGCAACCTCTGTAACAATCAGAGTCTGACTGGTAAGTACAAAATGCCAGAGACGCAAAAAGATTTGGGCTGCGCGATAGCCGATGTGCTTGAAAGAAGATGGCACTCGCGCAAAAGCACTGCCAGTACCGCTCTTTCTTGTGTCTTTGTTTTTTTCTTAAGCCTCAGTGCTACGCGCGCAGGCTAATGCACGTAAGTTACATAGTTTGTTTTCATATCACCATAGTCTTCTGCCTAGAAGCTTTTGTATCCTCTTTCTAAGTAGCAATCAGATTCACCATTATGAAACTCGACTATTTCATTGATAGTCGTCTTGTCGCTTAAGTTTTATGTTTGCTGTACAGTCTGCACTCAAGTAAGTAACTAGTAATTTAGCTTAAGGAAGCCTATTAATATAAGCACCCAGCTTCTTTAAGCTTCCTTGTCACATTAACTTACATTTTAATTAACACCCTTTGTAACTTTTTATTGTTAGTGAGTGACTAAAAAACAAATAAATAAAATAAATAAAAAATAAAAACAGAATACAGTTGCTCTGTTTTTCGCCTTGTCTTTTTCAGGTTATTAGGGAGTCAAAATTCAACAAAATTTCTAAATTTGATTCATATATTGTAAAATATTGAAAACAGATGGTACCATTCAAAAATACTTTCAAACCTGAGGTTTCATTATTGGAATGGTCACACAATAGAATTTTGTTCACAAACTCAACGGTTTGAACCAGTGTTCACGAGACTCCATCATTTACTCTAGCAATGAAATGGTCAAGCAAATGTGTTTCTCCTCGTTTTCGTAAAGGCATTTCCTGGTTTATGTGACACACCAGACGACACAAATACTTCGATCCGCATGTGATTCTTTTCTCTGGCACTTTTAACACACATTTGCGTTCGAGGTAAGAGAACGCAACCTCTAATTTGTGTTGGGTGTTCTGTGTTAATTTGGGTGTCCTGTGCAATTAATAAGGGAGGTTTTTCGGAGATTGCATATTCGTCGTCGTCGTCGACACACATTTGCCTCACTTTGACGCGCGAACTCGTGTGGTGATTCTTGTGTCGTCGGCGTTCATCTTCCAAAGGTTTGTTGAGGTCTGATATTCTGTCTTCGTAAAGCGTTCATCTTTTAAAAAGTTTGCTGAATCCTCGTAAAGCGTACATCGATCTGTGTTTGCTGAATCGTCCAAAGCGTTCATCTTTCTGAAGTTTGCTGTTAAATTTTACTTTGGATTAAGCCTTCATATTTTTCAGCATGGTTCGTCACTGTCTTTGGAAAATGTCTGCGACTCCTGGTGCATACATCAACCCGGGTTTAGTTCGGCGGCCTTTGTGTCACAAAGTAAATCTACCAAGATGTGAAGCTAGGCGGGGCCATTTGATCATGACTTGTGATTTTTTCGGCACCGGACAAACGAACACTTTAACTCTATGTTATTTATTAGGAAAAACTTATAAACCAGCCCACAGTAGCGCCACTCTCGAGTCACTGAAATCAACACGCTCGACCAAATTACTGGAAAAGTTATTGACGTGAGCCGCACACACGATCCATTGAAGGCTTTGACAGGGTTAGTGCGAAGTTTGAATTCAGATGTGAAAGCTTTTAAAACAGCAAATTCAATGTAATTCATTTTGTCAACAAGTTGATGATTCGATGCTCTTAAAAATAACAGAGAAAATTATCCGAAGAAATGTTTTTGAAGAAAGAAAAAGAATCCCGGGTTAAGCACTAATCGGCCTTTGAGCAACTGCACCCTGTAACTCGCGCCATTAAAAAAAATGTTCCATTTACACGCCCGACGCACTCTGGCATGATGTCTCCTCCGATTACAAGCACTTGACACCGAACCATACCATATCTTTTGAAAACGTTCTTGTAATGATACACAGTTTAAATAGAGGTTTCGCTGTACTCAACCCTTACGTTCAAAATATGCCATAATCATATTAATCTACATCGCAACTACCCTTCCGCCTCAACTGCTACCTGTATGCCTAACAAACATATCGAACGCACTCTCCTAAGCTCCGATTACTTCTAGTTTAAAAGAAAAATGAACGATAAAAAAGTAACACGACGTTTCGATGACTCTATGTCATCATTATCAAATGCGAAGAAAATTAGCATGAATTGGTGACATATATACAGAAAAAGGAAAGTGTCAGGAATATGTAAAGTTAAATTGAGGCGTGAAAATGGAGCAAACTAACAATTAATTACTTTTAACATATATGTTACTTTTTTTCCAAGCTTGCAAGCGGGCGGAATCCTCCAAATTCTGCAATCTGATTGGTTCCGACAGCGGGCGGTATTTTACGGGTCTTGCCCGCTAACCCGGGCGGAATCGTTGGCAGCTTCATTCACAAGTTTGTTTGTTGTTTGTGAATGAGCAAAAACGGTCATTTTCAAACCATTTTTCTTTTAAAACTCGCGTTATTGTTAGAATTAGCTAGGGAAAAGTGAATTTCATTATTCAGTCAAAAAATCTGAAGGGAGAATCAAGCAAGTTAGCCTTGAAAGCCGTTTAAGTATAGCAAAACAGGTGGCTCGTGATGTCGTTTCACTAGCTTTATAACTGCCCTTTAAGTACTGCAATCTTGCTTTATGCACTGCTTATTAGACATTTTTGCTCTGTTTGTAATTTTGTTTTCCATTTTTGCTGTATGAATCTAGATTCTGCCGTTTTTCATTGAATTTTGCCTCGCTAGTTTTCTTCTTATCAGAAAAGGTTGTTGTCAATGCTTGCATTTAGCTTTCAATCTTAAGCCTAAGCTTAAATAAATAACACGAATCACTTTTCCAGCAGTCGGTTATCGCCGTTTTCATATCTTTGTTTATAACTTGTTACTCACATCGCCTTCTTTCATTCGAATTCAATTCAAAACCATAAAATTGCTATGTGTAATTAGCTCCTTTGTGCAGTTTTCATCCCGCTCGATTGAACTAATCTTAAAGCAATTTTTGAATAATTCAGCCGAAGAAAATCCTTGATGTATTTTTTTCCTGCTGGTGCTTTAAATATCAAGCTCGTCAATTCTTTTAACCTTGTTTGACACTCAGATTATGAATTGTCTAGGAAGACACAAAAACCTTTCTTTATTCGAAAAGAGAGCAGTAAGTGCCATAATATAAAATTACCCCGCTAAAATTCATTTTGAAATGTTTTGTTTTGGTTTGCAATCGATCGCGCGCTTCATCAACCTGAACGCGTCCTACTTCAACACACATAGGTTGGAGGGTGAAGGAAACTTTTCCTGAAACTTTTAAGTCTCAGTAGGAAAAAATAGAAATGTTATTCACCGGCCTAGGTCGGTCCGTATTGGGAGGAACTGTACCCTCGGTCTGAGTACTCAATACCTCGGGCACAGTTTCTCCCAATACGGACCTCCCAGCCGGTGAATAACATATATATATTTATTAGTCTTTTTTGCGCATTGTTGTTGACGGCCCTGGGACGAGCACGATTGCGAGGCTAATGCGGGTCAACAAAAAAAAAAATCAAAACAAAACAAAAACAAACATAGGGAATTTGCCGCTGAGTCGCTGGAAAACGATAGAAATTAATCTTTAAAATAGTAAGATTTTAAGGTTTATACTTTACCAGTAAGCCAAAGGGGCATCTGTTGCAACAGAAGAAAGGAAAAAGCGACGAAACCAACTTTTCAATGGCTAATATGATTATCTGTGCGTAATGCTACCGGCGATAAGGTCTGAAATCTACGAACCAATCTACGAAACTGTTTGTGGTGATGAAATTCGAAAGACACTTTACCTGACCAACTTTTCAATGGTTAATATGATTCTCTGCGCGTAATGTTACTAGCGATAGCTATAGGTCTGGAATCTTCGACGCACTCTACCAAACTGTTTGTGGTGATAAAATTCGAAAAATATGCACTTTACCTGGCCAACTTTTCACAAGCTAATATGATTCTCTGTGCGTAATGCTACTCGCGATAAGGTCTGAAATCTACGAAGCACTCTACGAAACTGTTTGTGGTGATGAAATTCGAAAGACACTTTACCTGACCAACTTTTCAATGGTTAATATGATTCTCTGGCGTAATGTTACCGGCGATAGGTCTGGAATCTACGAAGAACTCTACGAAACTGCTTTGGTAATGGGATTCAAAGGACACTTTGCCTGACCAACTTTACTGTTTTTTTGTTTTAGGTTTAGATAGAAACGAAACCGCCTCAACTCCTACTATTCCTTCCCCACGTGTTCCGTCACTAGAAGAAGAGAAAGAAGCTGTAAAAGTCTCAATTCCACTTATTACAGACCAAGTAAGTGTCTGAAAAATTAATGGGGTACGCACTGGGTGCAAATGAGCTTCAGGCCTCCAACAAACCACCCTTTCCCTGATCACGTGTAAATTTATAAACGTCATTTTAAGTAGCCTGAGTACAGTCGACATTTCGCAACGCCACCACTGGCTTCCCTGCAAAATGACGTCTGAGGAATGGGAGCAGCCTGATTCCATCCTGATGACGTGTCACTACCCTGGTCTGAGTGTTCTTTCTGATGGTTGAATATTAACTTCTGTTTAGAAACGATGTAATTATGTTCGCCAATGTCTGCCAGTTACTGTGTATACTCCATCAAAAGCTAGTTACGATTGTTTGTTTGTTTGTTTTATCTGTTGTTGTTGTGTTTTCTTCTTCGGAACCCCTTAAGCCCCAATATCATTATACAAGTTATCTGACTGATCTCCCCACATTTCCTAAAAAAAAAATGTTCGAGAGAACTCGTTTAAAAATCAAAGCATTTCCCTCAGGTGAATATTTCATGAATCCTTATAACCTTTTCTCTTGATACTGTATTTACATCTTAGAAAAAAACTGATGTTAGTCAGTCACTCTCGGGACTTAAGACTGATCATAAAATTGACGCAAAACGTAGCAATACAAACTACCCCTGAAAGCCGCTAGATCTTTAACTGCTCGATGATAGTGGAACCGAGTAAAACAAGTATTGTTTGCCAATAAGCAATCACGATTTTTAGGGATGTGAAACAGTTTAATTTTGGAGAAGAATATATATCTAGGAAAAAGAAGACACTACGCCTGTCTATTTCCATTTATGTTTGTTAGTTACTTAAGGCTAACAACGGACGGCTTCATTTTTTGACTTTTTCTAATTATTTGACAGTATGAATGGGATTTCCAAACCGACAAGTCTTTCAAGGAAAAAATTGCTTCTGTTACAACCAGCTACTGTACTAGAAACAGAGGAAAATGTGCACTGAAGGAGGCAAGAAGAAAAAGGTATTATCAAAAGCGACACAGTAACTAGTTCAATAATGAAATAACGTTTTTACAGCAACTCCTCCTCTACAAAAAGTCAGAAAAGATTTCCCTGAAGTAGAATAGTGTAGCGTTTTCTTGCGAATGCTTTCATTTTTAATTTAATAGTTCACCTTGTCTTCCTGAAATGGATCATGGGCTCGAAGATACACAAACCTTTGGACTGGACTATAACTACGAGGTTAATAAACTATGAGCTTTCAAACTAAGTTCGTGTTTTTTAAGGTACAATCTTGTTACAATGATCTTACTTGTTAGGTAACATTCTTTCTTTTTTGTTGGAAAGTGTTCTTAGAAAAACTGGCGGGAAAATTCGAAAGTTGATATGTGTTTTTTACCCTCTACTCATAATCACGGGCAGGAGCTCATACCAGCTCTTGTCAAGGTCCCTATTAGAGACTATTTAGATTGAACAATTACCAACTCTTTTGTATGACCAGACGTGCCCTTCTTTTCGACTTGTATACCGCTGACCAAGTCAACCTTTTGCCTGGTTACCCAAGCAACGCGTCCGGCTCCCTCCAGGTGGCTTTTTGCGTCTTACAGCCGCTGGGACTTTTCATCGGAAAGACCTCCGCATTACCTCGAGACACGCTCGTCGACATTGTTAAAACACACGAATCAGAGATCGAGGCAACCATCGGTGCCAACATTTCACGCGTGGAAACTTTGTTTCAATCTTCTTCGACACCAACAACAAATAAAACGACAACAAGGATACCGACGGAAGTAAAAGAGAGCAAGGAAGCGGGCAATCGGATTGCAATTGATGTCGGAATTGGAGTGTCTGTTCCGATTTTGTTTTTCATTTTGACCGTAATTTTATGGTAAGTTGCTTATATAAAGATCGACTAGCGATTGCCCGAGCACCCTATTAATTTAGGGCGCTTACTAGCTGACCAGGCCAGTCCAGTCGTAAGGAGAATTACACAGATTAATCAGGCTAGTCCATTCGTAAGGAGAATTCCACAGGTTATTGAGGACTATGCAGCCATTTAAGTTTGTACCTAATTAATATTCGCGGCAATAATGGGTTTAGCAGGAGCTCAAAAACACGAAATATTTCACTTACAATGAACTTAATATGCAGTTCAATTTTGTCCGAGGCCAGTTGGTTTGATTAGCTTAATTGGATAGGTTACCATCATCATCATCATCATCACCATCAACAACAATGGCTGCTTCATCATTATCAAATATTAATTAAGTTCTTTCCTTTCGTTTATTCTTAGTTTAATTAGGAAAAGGAGAACTTCACGCAACGAAGCGCCTGGCAGGGTTATTGTCTTCTATAATCCAAGCGCGGAAGAACCAGTCGTCATTAATTAGAGGGACGAGTCTACAAAATGCACAAACTATTCAAAGTCTGATTAAAGACATCAAATGCTCAGGACCTTATTTTAAAAAATAGGGTATCTATTACTTATTATTATTGAGGTGCAATATTGTAGTATATTTTTTCTGAGCTTGCGAGCGGGAAAAATCCTCCAAATCCTGCAATCTGATTGGTTCCGAGAGCGGGCAGTTTTTTACGATCTTGCCCGCTAACCCGGGCGGAATCGCTGGCAGCTTTATTCACAAGTTTGTTTGTTGTTTGTGAATGAGCAAAACCGATGATTTTTAACCATTTTTCTTTTGAAACTTGCGCTGTTATTAGCGTTAGCTAGGAAAAAGTGAATTTTGTTATTCAGACAAAACATCTGAAGGGAGAGTCAAGCAAGTCAGCCAGGGAAACCGCTAAAGTAAGCAAAACAGGCGGCTCGTGATCTCGCTTCATAGCTTTATAACTTACGCTGTAAGTACTGCAATCTTGCTGTTATGCTCCGTTTATTCGACACTTTCCCTCTGTTTGTAGGTTTGTTTTCCATTTTTGCTGTCTGAATCTAGATTCTGCCGTTTTTCATTGAATTTGCCTCGCTAGTTTTCTACTTTTCAGAAAAGGTTGTTGTCAACGATTGCATGTAGCTTTCAATCTTGAGTAAACAACACGAACAACTTTTCCAGCAGTCAGTCATCGCCGTTTTTATTTCTTTGTTTATATGATTGTTTATAGTTACCCACATCGCCCTCTTTCCTTCGAATTCACTTCAAAACCCTAAGATTGGTATGTGTAATCAGCTCTTTTTATAAAGCCTTTGTGCAGTTTTTATCCCGCTCTATTGAATTAATAATCTTAAAGTAAATATTCAGCCGAAGAAAATCTTTGATGTATTTTCTTTCCTGTGGCTTTTAAGTTCGTCGATTCTTTTATCCATGTTTGACACTCAGA